CCCCAAAACCCCAAAACCCCAAAACCCCGTACTGCCAGTTTTACCGTTTGAATCTGAGAATTAAGAAAAAAATTTTTGATTAATCAAAGTATTTACTAATATTAAGTTAAATTTATATGTTTTTTTTCTCCTACCTAATGAGTGCATGAGACTATTAGAATATTATAGAGAGTGATACTTTCGATTATTTATTTAAGTCAGAAATTATTGCAGGATGCAATTCCTAGATATCTATTTCTATAATTGCAGAATCATGGGCTATGCTATACTATTCCAAAGTTCATGATCCATTAATTTCCTCCATTATTTTCATTTTTAGAACTAAATCCTTATTATTATGTCTTAGCTTTCTCAAATTGTGTGATCTTTTCAATATTTTTAATTTCTTAGTATGAGCTCGAATTATGTTAGCTGTTTATTATAGCTTGTGAAGGTGAGATGATTTTCAAGCCTGCTAGCTGCTTTTGCTCTATTAGGTTCAATCCAAAAATTTCACTTGAGCTACAGTGGCTTATATTAACAGAATAATAATATACCAATTAGACTATAACAGAGGAATGAATTTTGAAGAAGGCTACTCAGCAAAACTAGTGCTTTTCTCTTATTCTGAATTTTGACTTTAACTCAATTTGAATAAATCCATATTTCTTATTATCTGAGATTAGTATTCTCCTAAAGCCATGCTCTGATTTTCATCTTACAGATTTGACGTATTTTTCAAAAACATTTGAGAATTATTATATTATATATTTTTAATTTAGGGCATACAACACCTGATTCCTGACTCATTAAATTCACTATCTTAAAGGCTATTTTGATTACCTGATGCAATAACCATTTGTTAATGCTTTACATAGATGTTGTGTTTTTTAGAAATTCTTTTACTGCTCATTTTAATATCTCTGATATTTTATTTGAGTTGTTTTATTCTCTTGGCCATACCTTTGAATAGGTTAAGCTTCTATTGATCATTAAGTTTATTCAATTAATTTTTAGCTAATTATATTTTTTCCTCTATATTTTTAGAATCTTCACTCTCTACATTGAGATCCTCTTAATATTCGCTCTGTTAGAATAACAGATCATCGTATGACATTGCAGATAACTCTAAATCCTGTTTTTAATTAACTTCTTATCTCATGTTTGCTTTATTAAGGTTATAGGAATCCTTTTTATTGATCATTGTTAAAAGACTGTTTTAATGATACATTTGATTTGAAAGTTGATTGAAGCATCCAAAGTCTTAATGGAACTGTTATTATTTCATGAGGTTCTGCGGTGTCTGATTTCTATAATCTATGTTTGCAGATTATATTTTTAGGTTATGGAGCATTTGGTAGGCTACTAGTTTAGAAATTAATGTAATATAATATCACGACTATTTAGCTTTATATTCTAAATCTTTTTGAAGTATATTAAATATTTGCAAAAACAAGTTATCAACTTACTAATTTGAGTTGTATCAATGATTAATGGGGTTTTGGGGTTTTGGGGTTTTGGGG